CTTAGCAGATCCAACCAAGTTCAACAGGTATGTGGAATAGGAGATAGACGAAAGACACACCCTGGTCATCCAGGTCGGGAGTTGTGCAGTAGGCTAAGAAGTTACTCACTTAAAAACTAGCTTGTTAAACCTCAACGAAATCTTCAAACAAAGACATGGCCGACGAAGAGCCCTCCAATGTAGAAAAGTGGTAAAATATAAGTATTTATAAAAAAAAGGCACAGGGAAGATACATTACGGCAACCAAGATGCCAGTTGAGGACCGATAACATTACAGTAGATATGGCTGCTCGATTAATGAATTCCAAATATTCCCGTCCTCATGACGTGTTTCTTTGACTTGGTAGGACGGCTTGCTTGCTTCAACTACCCCCAGATTTATGTGGGCAGGGGATTCGGACCTTAGCAGATCCAACCAAGCTCAACAGGTCCGTCGGATAGGAGATAGACGAAAGACACAGCCTGGTCCTCCAGGTTTGGGGGTTGTGCAGTAGGCTAACAAAGTACTCACTTAAAAACTAGCTTGTTACAAAAACCTCAACGACATCTTCAAAAAAAGACATGGCCGAGGAAGAGCCCTCTCAAGTAGAGCGTGTGATACGTGCCGGTGAACCCCCCCGGGCAGTCAATCGGCACGACATGGGTCGAGCTGAAGAGGATCGCCCGGAATGGCGTCCGTTGGGGAGGTGTTGTTGAGGTCCTGTTTCCCCAAGGAATTAAGATGCATGATGATGAATGGTTAATTCCATAAACCGAGCATTATACAGGGAAAATGTTAGATCAAAATATGTTAGATCAGAGATATGTGAGTCAACCAAGCTCAACAGTTCTGTGGTCATCCATGTTGGAGGTTCTGCAATAGGCTAACAAGCTACTGACTGAAAAAACTAGCTTGTAACAGAACCGTCAACAATATCTTCAAACAACGACATGGCTGAGGAAGAGTCCTCGAAAGTGGAGCCTATGAGGTGTGCTGGTGAAAATCCCCCGAAAAGGCAGCTGGTGCGACATGGGTGGAGCTGAAGAGGTTCGCACAGAACCGCGTCCATCGGAGAGGTGTTGTCGTGGCCCTATGTTCACCAAGGAATTAAGAGGCATAATGAATGAAATAAATGGCGTACTTCAGCATGATAATAAATAACAGTGTAATGAAAAGCAATGCCATTGATTTGAGCCATTAGTAACGTTGAAAGAACCCAAAAATTCCTCATTGGACAAAATGGTAGCTTTCATTATTTGGTGAAAGAGAATATTGGTGCCAACATTCCAGACAGTCTCACGATTTAAGGATTTATCCATGTACCTTTAACAGATCGTTAAGATGTGGCGAGAGAATATTTTGTTTTGCGAAAGTGTTTGGTTATAAGTTTAAATTAAGTTACTTGTATTTCTATCAATATTATTTATTTTATTTTATTTATTTTACTACTGTTCCCCAATACAAGACCTAAGTGCCACTCAAGGTAGAGGGTCACTGAATGGAGGTTATATAATATACAAAATGATATTACTTTTTTGAATTCTATTTTCAAATTACCTAAATATTTTTATTTCGTTTTTTATTCGACTTTAGGTCAGTTCTATATTTTATAATTAAGAATATTAAAATTTCTTTCATCCAAGGACTTGACTGTAATTTTTCTCATCATTTTTCGTATATATATATATTATGTAGGTAGATAGACAGGTAACGAACAGAATATGAACAGACTGATATATATATATATATATATATATATAGATATATAGATATATAGATATATAAATAGATAGATAGATATAGATAAATAAATATGAACCGAATGATAAATAGATTTATATGTCATTGATAGATAGATAGATAAATAGCTAGATAGATAGATATGAAGAGACTAGGATATATATATATATATATATATATATATATATATATATATATATATAGATAGATAGATAGAAAATATATGAACCGACTGATAGATTTATATGCGATAGATAGTAGATAGATAAGAAGAGTCTGAGATAGATAGATAGATAGATAGATAGATAGATAGATAGATAGATATGAATAGACAAACGTGGATAGAAAGATAATGGACATAAAATGTTATTTTTTCATAGTTACTTAAAATAACTACTTAAATGTTTTTTTCATTGAGCCGCTTCTCTACATAAACAAAGGAATATATTCATATAAACCCCCCATATATATATATATATATATATATATATATATATATATATATATATATATATATATATATATATATATATATATATATATAAAACTTTATGACAAAGTGGAAAAAGTTTACTTGTGACGCGTTTCGTCCTTAAGGACTTCATCGGACTAATGTTGGTAGAATTACCCATGCGAACGGCAGGGAGGGAGGTGCTGATAATTTTACAATTTTTGCTTAGTCGAATTCATTTAGAATTCTTTTTCTTTCCGTCACTCTGTAAGTAGTTATTTCACACTGTGATATTAAAAGATCTGCCAGAAATGGTGAAATGTAAGAACCAGAATGAAAATTTACTTAGAGGATTAAGACACTCTCTAGATATTTACGTCGTAATGAATTATTTTCTCCTTTAAATCATGGTATCATTTTTAATGTCAAAATTGTGGTCAGTCTCGTTACGGTGGCCAAACAACTAATTTTAAGTATTATTTTGTAAAATGTCCCTATTATGTTCATACAATCTTTTATTTAGATACCTTGCGGTTTCTTCTATGTATTTTTTGTGGCAAATATTACAGGCGATGGAATAAACTCTTCCTTCAGGTTTTACCTTCTGTTTAAACATAATAGTCTGAATATGAGGCTAAGCAACATTGAAATATCGACGCCAAGCTACATTTTCAACTTGTTAATGAAATATCTGCCTTTTCAATTTGTTTTCGGGCTTTTTTTTTAGCATTTTTTAACTAAAATCCCCGAAATGTGTATCAAATACTTTTTAATAGAAAACAAATCGCGTTACCACAGCGAATCAATCTCTTCACTGTGAACAGATTTCCTTTAGTTTAGATTTGTTTTCAAAAACTTAAAGAATTCATCTTTGAATTATTGAAAAAAACAAACAAACATACAAAAAAACCTACGAAATATTGACTTGTTCCTATTGTAAGACGTTCTGCTTTTCATACGATATAACTTCAGGGGGTAACGATATTTTATTTTATGTGTACGATTTTTCAATGATTTGAAGAAAAAAAACGATTGTTGTTTTCGTTTCAAATGCAAAATTGATTTTCGAATGCCGTATTTGATATTCACAGATATGATTTATTTATAAGAATGGAAACCTGAAATATCTATCAGAAATGATAGATGCATCTTTGCTTAGCATTATTTATGTCATGGCTTTTATCTCAAGGCTTAAGATTTAACGATTTCAAGAATGTTAAAGTATATATCAATCCATTCCTAGTTATTTAACACTTTCTACTTTCGTCTGTCAGTCATCTGTGTCAGAGGTTAAATATAAATCGGAAAATACTTTTTTATTCTTTCTATCGTTCTTTTTTTCTTTCTTTCTTACTTTTTTCTTTCTTAATTCTGCTTTGTTCTTGCTTTTTTCTTTGATCATTCCGAGTAAGTATTTTTCTTTCTTTCTTTCTTCTTTTCTTTCATTTTTTCTTTGTTTGTTTTTTCGTTTGTTTGTTTCTTTCTTTCTTTCTTAATTCTGCTTAATTCTTACTTTTGACTTTGATTGTTCTGAGGAACTATTATTCTTTCTTTCTTTCATTCTTTCTTTTTTCTTTCTTAATTCTGCTTTTTTGGCTTTTTCTTTTGATCATTCCGAGTAAGTATTTTTTTTTCTTTTCTTTCTTTTTTCTTTCTTCTTTTTTCTTTTTCTTTCTTTTTTCTTTTTTTTTTCAAATTTTTTTTCTTTGAGTGGCTTTTTTCTTCTTTCTTTCTTTTTCTTATTTTCTTTTTTTTTTATTTTTTCTTTCTTTCTTTTCTTTCTTTCTTTCTTTCTTTCTTTTCTTTTTTCTTTCTTTTTTCTTTTTTTCTTCATTCTTATTTTTCTTTCTTTCTTTTTCTTTCTTTTTTCCTTCATTCTTTCTTTTTTTTCTTTCTTAATTCTGCTTTGATTGTTCTGATTAACATTTTTTTTCTTTCTTTTCTTTCTTTCTTTCTTTCCTTCATTCTTTTCTTTCTTTTTCTTTCTTTCTTTCTTTCTTACTTTCTTTCTTGCTTTCTTAATTCTGCTTTGCTCTGACATTTTTCCTGTTTTCTTTCTTTCTTTCTTTCTTTCTTTCTTTCTTTGTCAACAAATAAAAACTGCTATCGGAAATTATCAACAAAATAAAAGAAATGAAAGAAAGGAAGACAAAAGACATTTCGCCGATCTATTAAAATCGGCATAATTCTGTCTTCATTTCCAATAGCAGTTTTTATTTGTTTTCTTCTTTCTTTCAGAGTCTGTCTATATTTCTGAGATGAGGTATTATGTACAATATTTACATTATTCGGACTATCTTATTTTTGCCGCCATATTTATCACAACGTTTCGGCCGTTGTACGCTCCAGCCTTCTTCAGGTGGTTGGAATTTCGAACTGAACCCTTTATTTCACTCACTGGGATAGACTGTTCTAGTTCTACGTGCCGTGTTTGATGGATGTCAGTTATTAGTTATCTCCTGCTAATTTAAATATGAGCACTGGTAAAAATGGTTGCTGAAGACATTATAATACCGAGAAATTCATACCCAGATGTCCTCAAGGACACATGGCACAGTGGATAAAGGCGTTGGTTAGATCCAGTGACAGGACCCCAAAAGTGTGAGTTCAATACCCGGTTAAGTCAGTGGAGAACTTTCAGAGGGTAATTAACAGGAGATAACTGATAACCGACATCCATCAAACATGGAACTAGAACAGTCTACTACCCCAGTGAGCGAAATAAAGGGTTCAGTTTGAAATTCCAACCACCTGAAGAAGGTCGGAGCGTACAACGGCCGAAACGTTGTGATAAATATGGCGACAAAGATGAGGACAATAGTCTAAATAATGTCTTCTTTCTTTCTTTTATTGATGCATATCTATAAATCAAAGTCTTTTTAATAGTCATGTGTTACTCCTTTTATTTGTTTGTTTCTTTCTATATAAATCTGCTTCTTTCGTTTTTTTAAATATTTTCTTTTGATATATTTCTAAAAACAGCCTTTTCCTTTCATTTGTCTTTCTTCTTTATTCCTTCCTTCCTTCCTTCCTTCCTTCCTTCCTTCCTTCCTTCCTTCCTATCTTTTATTTTCTGGATAGTCCTGAGTAACTCTTTTTGTTTCCTTCTTTGTTTTATACATTTCTGTCAATCAGCTATTTTCTTTCTTTCTTTCATGCTTGCTTTGTTTTTTCATCGTTTCTTTCATTTTTTTCTTTCTTACTTTTTGTTTATCTCTATAAATCGGCTTCTTCCTTCCTTCCTTCCTTCCTTCCTTCCTTCCTTCCTTCCTTCCTTCCTCCTTCCTTCATTCATTTTTTTTTTTTTTTTTTGTTTCTTTTCTTTTTTATATTATCTGGAGAGTTATGAATAAGATACAACCTTTCAAAGTTTAATCTCACAATTGGACAATTTTACTGTTACACCTGGTATATAAATATCTACATACACACATACAAACACACACTTTCTCTCACACACACATACACACAGCGAGATTGTAGTTAAGTAATAGAAATGTTATATTAAATACAAATCCATTATTTTCTAACGCACACACACACACACTCACACGCACACACACACACACACACACATATATATATATATATATCTTTAGTGAGAGAGAGAGAGAGAGAGAGAGAGAGAGAGAGAGATGGAATAACAGACAGACATAGAGGGAGAGAAATAGAAAGTGATACGCATATATTTTTCGCAAAAATTTACCGTGAAGAAAGAAACCCCGAATTATTTTTTTTTAAATTCCAAGTTGAACATAAATTCTCGTTTCCCGTTTTGAAGGAATTTCGTCAATAAAAAAGGCGAAATTTAAAACGCTAAACATTTAGGATAATTTTCTTTAATTTCGAAATAATTCCTAAAAGTTTTCACCGTTCAACTGTTGAATTATCAATATATATATATATATATATATATATATATATATATATATATATATCTGTAAATCTGTTTTTCTTCTTTCCATTGTACTGACCGAACTACACAATTCACATTCTTTCTTTTTCTTGATAATTCTGAGTAACTGTTTTTCTTTGTTTCTCTCTTTCTTTCACTTGATATATCTATATAAACCAACTTCTTTCATTCTTTCATTCTTTCTTTCGCTTCTTTCTTTCTATCATTCTTGAATTTGTTCTTTCATCCTTTCATTTTTTTTCTTTTGTTCTTTCATCCTTTTTTTTTTTTTTTTTTTTTCATTTTTTTTTCATTTTTTTCCTTTTTTTCCTTTCTTTCTTTTTTTTTCTTTCTTTCTTTCTATTCCTGTCTGATTGTCTTTCGAAATCTAATGATCGTGTCCTTTCTCCATTTTTTTAATAAAAATTTTAAACCTAAAAGCACGATAACAACATTTTTCTTAGATTCGACCTCTCTTCACTCCCTCCATCACTCCCCTCTCTCTCTCTCTCTTTTCTATATCCTTCACTTTTTCCCGACTTTGGCATCTATATTTGTCCACCCGCCATTATGTCCCCAGTTGACATCAAGAAGCATCAAGAAATTATAATGTCACCTAAAGACAAAAGAAAATATAATTTAAAATAAAAATAACTGAAACGACTTATAATATAATGTAATAAAGCATTGGATTGAATTTGTGGCTTTCCCGCCATCTATCTGAATATTGCATACGCTTCTGTCAGCTTTTTAAGGTAGAACTTAAAGACTTAAAAACAAACTGAAGTTAAAAATGGCCGTTGCCCGCCAATGCGGATATAACGCCAGCTTGACTCCTCCGTTATTCAAAATAACCGTTGCTTGGTGTGGAGTTGCTGAGAATCACATTAGCTGAAATTAATCTGGAGGAAAACAACAGAAGAAATATTCAATCATAATAATATATATATATATATATATATATATATATATATATATATATATATGTGTGTGTGTGTGTGTGTGTATATTATGTATATATATATATATATATATATATATATATATATATATATATATTATTCAAATTCGTTTTATTTAAATAAAAAGATTTTAGTTTTTTTTATTGTTATTATTCTATTAAAGTGCGCCATCATGGACATTTTACGTATTCCATTAATTCGACTTCTGAGAGTTGTTTTATTTTGTTGGTGTTTTTTACAGCATACCATCACACACGCATGCGTACGCGCGTGCGCACATTGAGAAAGGTAACAATGGGTGTAACAGCTTTTTCGTATTTGCTGGCATTGAGGGTGCTTTGCCAAAATGCTCGCTTGTCTTATCTTTTTGTGATGTTTTCCATTTCTTTTCTTTTTAGAGGCGCATTTTTTTTCTTTCTCTCTTTCGACCCGGAAAATGAATTCACCGAGTCAAGTCCGAATTCATTCTTTCATTTTTTTCATTCCTTTTTTAGCTTTGCTCCATTCATTCTTTCCTTTTTGTCTTTGTCTACGATTTCTTTATTTCTTTCTTTCTTTTTTGTTTGTTTGTTTGTTTGTTTTTCTTTCTTTCTTTCTTTCTTTCTTTCTTTGTACTGGCACATTTTTATATAATTCTGCCTCTTGCTTTCTTTTACTTTTTCCTTCCTTCTTTCTTTCTTCCTTACTTTTTCCCTTTCTTTCACTTTTTCTGAATTATGTCAATCTTTCTCTCTCTTTTCTGTCTTTTACCTATTCTGAATTCCTTCTTTCTTTCTTTCTTTCTTTCTTTCTTTCTTTCTTTCACTTTTACCTGCATTCAGTTTCTTTCTTTCTTCTTCCTTTCTTTCTTCCACCTTCGCCTGCATCCAGTTTGCTTTATTCTTTCTTTCTGTCTATCTTTCGTTCTCTTTTTCTTTCTTTTACCATTACCTGCATTTAATCTTCTGTTTTCTTTCTTTCTTTCTTTCTTTCTTTCTTTCTTTCTTTCTTTCTTTCTTTCTTTCTGTTATATACCGTACCTATGAACACTAATGCGTATGTCTCAATCGTCATAACTACGTTGGACATTATTGTAAGTGGAGGTAATATGGTGTCCAAGTAGTCGACCATTAGCAGTGGTTTACCTACTTCACGCCGCTGGCGAGTATTGTATTTTTTTGATGTTATAAAGATTACCATTTCATATCTAATCTCCGTTTTGGTTATTCCTTTTTCAGTTACCCATTCTAGGTTACAACACTTTCTTTCTTTCTTTCTTTCTTTCTTTCTTTCTTTCTTTCTTACACTTTTACATGCGTTCATTTTTCTTCATTTTTTATTTCTATCTTTCTTTCTTTTGGTTTGTTCTTTCTTTCCTTCCCTAATTCTTCATTCTTTACTTTCTCTATTTTCCCCGCAACCTATTTTTTTTTTTGGTAATATCCAAGCAGTGGCACCATACATGACCAGCATCTCTATAGAGGCTCAAAAGAACCTCCGTTTGGTAGGTCAGATTTCCAGGTTACATCCATTTTATACAAGGCGACTATATGAATTTTTACATACTTTTTAGTAGAGTTTATCTCGCTTACTAGGTATGTAAAATATTCGACATAATTTATTGATTCACCTGAGACAGTTTGTATTGAGATTTCTTGGTTGTAGCCTATGAATTCAGTTCAAGAGGCATTGGCGTAGAGTCCAACATCATTGGCAGCATTTTCTAGATGATGCATAATAACTGTTGCATCTCAATGGTGTCTGCAGTTATAGCTAGATCATGTGTATCTGCCATCTGTATAGTGAATATCTGTCAACTTTTTAAATGGCATGTCCCCCATTTTAACGCAGTCTACTCTGCTTTTTAATTCATAGATTGGGGGTGTAGGAGAAATATAGACATTTCTTTGCCAAGGACGTGTACGTAATTTGAGATTGCCTTGCCGAACCCAATTTCGGGTTAGATAACCGCTACACTACATGCATATTATTATTATCTTTATTTTATTTCCTTTGATTTTTGAGTGTACTCATATGTTTCCGTGACCCGCTCAGGGAACTAAATTTAGAAATGGCATCATAACATTTTCCACTGGAAAAAAAAATGACATTGACAAAGCCCTTCGTAAGGTGTCGACTGTACTCGTGAGAACAATTTTTTTGTATTTCTTTAAAGTATGGGCTTCCAGCAATGCCTTCAATTAGTCTATTGGAATCTTTTCCAACCAATCCAAGGGCTCCAACTACAACAGGGATTGTTGAGGTTCGCATGTGCCACATTTCTGAGATTTCGATTTCAAGGTCCTTGTATTTTGACAGCTTTTTGAAGCTACTTTGTAGTCCACAGGGACTGTCATATCAATAAGGAGGGACCTTTTTTGTGTGCGATCTCTAATATCAATGTCTGGGTGGTTAGCTTTAATTATTTTGTCTGTGTGTATTGTGTAGTCCCAAAAAAATTCTAACAGGTCCTATCCCGTAACCGGGTCTGGGTGGTGTTCATACGAATTTCAGTTTCCTTCCCGTAGAAATTACAGATTTTCCAATGCAAATATTGGACGACTCTCTCATGCCGGGTTTTATATTCAGTGGGTGTCAATACTGTGCAACCTAAGGCAAGATGATCGATTGTTTCTGGGTAATTATCACAAAATTATTATTATTATTATTATTATTATTATTCCTTTGATTTCTGCTGTATACTCATTTCTTTTCGGCCCCGCCCAGAGACCTAAGGTCAGAAATGGCACCATGACATTTTATACTGAGCAATGAAAAGAAAACAAAAAACATATATTTTACATAGATAAAACCCTTCGTAAGTTGTGAACTGTACTCGTGTGAACATTTTTTTTGTATTTCTTTAAAGCATAGGCTACAAGGAATCCCATCAATTAGTCTACTGGAATCTTTTCCATCAAATCTGAGGGCTCCAACTACAACAGAAATTGTTGACGTTCTCATTTGCCACATTTTTGAGATTTCGATTTCCAGGTCCTTGTATTTTAACAGCTTCTTGAAGATCTTCAAAGATATATTGTAGTCTGCAAGGACTGCCATATCAATAAGGAGGCACTCTTTCTGTTTGCAGTCTTTAATAACGATGTCTGAGCGATTACCTTTGATTGTTTTGTCTGTGTGTATTGTGTAGTCCCATAAAAGCGCAAGAGGGCCTATCTCCGTTACCGGATCTGGGCAGTGTTCATACCAATTTCTTTCAGTTTCCTTCCCGTAGAAGTTACAGATATTCCAGCGCAGATATTGGCCCACTCTTTCATGCCGGGTTTTATATTCAGTGGGTGCGAATACCGAGCAACTTCATATTATCATATTATTATTATTATTATTATTATTATTATTATTATTATTTTAGTTTTATTAGTTTTATTATTTATCTTGTATTTTTATTTTTCGTAGTTTGTTTTTCTTTTCAGGTTTTTTTTTTTTCGAATCAGCTTTGTAGAATTTTCATTTTTCAAACTTCGCTTCACTGAGCATTTTTCCTCGTAATCAATTACTTTTTGGTTTTATTTCTTTCGTACTTTTTCAAAAATATGTTTTTCTTATTAGAATCTGAATTTGTCTTTACAAATGTTCCCTTCCTTGTTTTTTTACCAACTTTCGGAAAGAAGAAATTTCAGATTATGCGAATTTAATGTTATTTGCCGCTGCTAAGTCACGTTTTTCAATTCACATCACTTCTGATAAACTGCATGGCCTGTAAAGCATATCTCAAATATATTTCTCATTTAGTTTCTTTCAAATCACTTTACCTGTTTCTCTAAACTTGTTTTTTTGTCCCTGGTATTTCTTTGTTTTTTGTTCTGAACGTTTTTCGAAGACTATATATACTCGACTCTTCCGTCGAATTCGACGTATGAGGGCCAATCAGATGAGTTCCTAGGAAACTGACAGCCTGATGCCAGCACATGAGATTTGTTTATCGTGGTGCAGGTTTTGCCGGATAGACAGACTTGGTGCACCACAAATGACCCTTCGCAGGTTTTGAATTCAGAGCTGTCCTTCTCCGAGACCAGTTGCCATCCAAGGCTATAGAACCCAGCCTGTCCTGCTATTTACCCATAGCTGGAGTGAGAAGAGGAGGATTCACACCTTTCCCAAAGGTATTAGCACGTAAGTGAATGTAATCGATTCGACAGGAATTTCAAACTCGGCTCTCCGATACCTCAATCGAAGCCGCTATCCATTATGTTGCCATATATATATATATATATATATATATATATATATATATATATATATATATATATATATATATATATATATTTTTTTATGTTTATACGTTCTTTTTTATAGATACAAATATTTAAGTAAATGTTCTGTTTATAATAAACAGTATTAATAACATTTACCGGCCTGAGTGTTCGAGAAATTTTTCATAGAAATATGCGTCCTCCGACAGGAATCGAACCTGTATCCTATACGGAACCGTCATATAGTGTTTCGTTTAACAAGAACGATTTTTAAACTACAATTCTCCATGATTTTATCTCGTACATTGATATCTGCCCGATGTGTAAAAATAAAACTAATGACGTCATACATTATGAAATGGACAAAGTCCGACAATGACCTTTGGGACATTTTTTATGTTTATTCAGGTTCGAATCCTGTCGGAGGTCGAATATTTTCTATGAAAATTTCTCGGACATTCAGGCCGGTAAATGTTATTAATACTGTTTATTATAAACAGAGTATTTACTCAAATATTTGTATCTATAAAAAGAATATATAACCATTAAAAAAATGTCTCAAAAATAATTGTCGGACTTTGTTCATTTCATAATTGTGGCTGTCCTTTAGGTTTCGAGCGTGACCACCTCCTTTATTTCATGTCCTCACCCCCTCCCCCTCCCCTCAAATTCTATGTATTCGCAGGTGACTCTTCAGGCCAGCCAAACTGCGACAAATTTTGCCACAGATTTGGCATACCCAATCAGTTTTGTTTTACAGTGACATTATTCGGGTGCACACTAGGTTTTGCACATTTACGCAAATGGCTTTTGAAGCCGGCATAAGATAGGCACAATTTTCCGCATATGTCGCAATTAACGTGGTGAATTTGTGGACCCGGTGCTGGACCCTGCTCGCCTTTACGAATCAGACGTTTGTAGGCACTGTACTGCATACGGCTATTCTCAAAGGACTCAATGCCTTCGTGAATTAGTTTCCGTCACTTACTTCTATCCAAAGCCATTTTTTCCCATTGGTCTACAGTCCCATTGGTCTATAGTCCAGATTGTTTCATAATATATATATATATATATATTCATGAATTATTCACACAAAAAACAAATGCCAAGGTTAATGATTTAATTGGCGAGAAATCCATCATCGCAAACAATTCAAATAATATACAAAAACCTCCGAATCCGTTATAAATGAAAATCCTTGATCCTTGTTTATATATATATTATATATATATATATATATATATATAATATATATGTATTGTTGTATATATTGAAAATGAGTTATTGTTTTTTGTATTTTTGATTTTAAATTTTTTAAAGGTTTTTCATATAAATATGGTGATGAACGAATTTTTACTGGTAAATTTTCTGTCAAAGTGGCATGAACTATATTGTTCAATAATTACAGTAATGTCCGCATATTAAAAAGTCGCACTTGGATCATTATTTTATTTTAATCTTTATAAATTCATGTTTCCCAAAACAAATGCAAGGTTTGATTTAATTGTTCTTTCTCTCCGTTATAAAATGTAAAGATCCCTTTTCCCCGTTTAGTTCTTATTTTTACTCCTTTTTTTTTTTGCCTTTTTTATTTTGCCTTGCCTGAAAATGCTTCATTGTTTTATTTTTATCTGTATTTGTTTCCACTTTTATTTTTTCTTTCTCTCTTCTTTTCCCTTCCTTCTCCTTTTATTCCTTCCTTCTTTAGTTATTTCTTTCTTCTCTCTGCAGTTATTTCTCTCTCTCTTTCTCTTTATCTCTCTCTCTCTCACTCACTCTCTCTTACTCGTTTCGACATTTGTTCTAAGTTCTATTTTTCTTTCGCTTATTTTTCCCTCAGATTTTTCCTTCCTTTCGTTCTCTTCTCTCTCGTTCATTCCTTTCTTCAATTTTCTTCATTTTTCTAAATATTCTTTCTTTTTCCTCCCCCGCACTCTTCCTTCATCTGGGGCTTACGGCCACATCGCTTTAAAGCACCGCCCCTCATCTGATCACCGAAGTTAAGCAACGTTGAACCTTGTCAGTACCTTGATGGGTGACCGCTTGGAAATACCAGGTACTATAAGCTTGGATGCGAGGGTGGCGTAATGGATAATGGCTCGGAATTGTTAATCAGTGAGCCGAGTTCCAATTCAAAGGGGCTCCGTTATATTCATTTACGCGCAAATATTCTTGCGAAAGTATGAATCCACAACTTCTCCACCAGCTATGGGTTAATTCGTAAAACTTGCATCACTAAATCTCTTCATCCAAAATACTTAGAATCTGAACAGTATTTTCTGGCTTTAAATAACCTGAAAAGGGTTGATAAAGCATAAAAAAACAAATCAATCCATCAAATGCTGATTAACTACATAGACTTATATTTTTTTTCATTCTCTAGAATATAAATTTATAAAAACTATCGTGCCCACAAATTGAGGAATCAGTTTATATATTGATTGTAATATAGAATTGATCACCCACTTTTTAGCCACATTATAATCTCTTGTTTGTTTATCAAATTCTGATTAGGTTTGAATCCACCTTTTCTCCCCCAACCATGGGGTTAATTAGTAAGAGGTGTTTTACTAAATCATTATTATTTCAAAATTAAAATTCTTACAATTTAAAACTATTTTCTGGCTTTAAATAACCTGAAAAGGGTTGATAAGCCGTAAAAACGAATCAATCAAAAACTCATTCAAGTGAGAATTGCAAATCATTTTACAAATTTCTTTCTTTCTTTTTTCTTTCTTTCTTTCTCAATGTATTCATCTATCTATCTATCTATCTATCTATCTATCTATCTATCTATCTATTTTCCAAAAACAAACTATGATCTTGAATTGAATTGAGAGTAGGATAGCCGAGTTCCAAATCCCGATTAGTTCGTCACATTCACTTACGCGCAAGTGCCCTTGGGATATGTATGCATTCCCATATTCTCCCCCCCCACACACACTTTTGGGTTAATGAGTAAGACTTGTATGAAAGCATTATTATCTCCAAAAAGAATTCTTAAATTATTTTCTGGCTTTAAATAACCTGCAAAGGGTTGGTAAACCGTAAAAAACGAATCAATCTCCTTCCATCTCCTTTTTTCAGTATTTCCTCACTCTATATTTTAATAGTCTCACCCTCTCACTTTTTCTTCTTTAATTTCATTCTCTTTTCATTCTTCTTATTTCCTTCTACTCTTTTTCTTTCCTCTTGTCCTTCTTTTTCGTTATCTGTTTCTCTGTTCAGTTGTTACCCTCCTCCATCTTTTTTTTTTATTTCTTTTTCTTTTTTTCTTTCCGTCTTTACTCTTTCTCTTTTTTGTTCCCCTCACTGTATTTTCTCTCTTTTCTTACTTGGTTTTCTTCGCCATTTCTTTTCTTTTGCCTTCTTTCTGCATTTCTTCTTTTATTCTTTCCTTCTCGTTTGCTTCGCTGTTTTTTCTTTCATCTTCTTATTTACCAGCCCTTTTAATCCAGTTGCTTGCATTCTTCTTCTTCTTCTTCTTCTTCTTCTTCTTCTTCTTCTTCTATGCATTTTTTCTTCAATCTTCTTTTTTCTTCTTCTGATTCTTCTTACATCCCTTTTTTCTTCTTCAATCTTCTTCTTCTTCTTCTTCTTCTTCAATATGCTTCATCATTTTCTTCTTCAATCTTCTTTTCTTCGCCGTCTTCTTCTTATATGAATTTTGTCTTCGTTAGTTTTCTTTATCTTGAATTTTTTCTTCTTTAATTTTCTTTTCTTCTTCCTCTTCTTCTCTAATGAATTTTTTCTTCCTCAATCTTCTTTTTCTTTTTCTTCATCTTTAATTTTATTTTCTTCTTTTTCAATCACCTTTTTCTTCTTCTTTTATGCATTTCTTTTTCTCCAATCTTCTTCTTCTTCTTCTTCTTCTTCTTCTTCTTCTTCTTCTTCTTCCTCTTTCATGAATTTCTTCTTCAATCTTTTTTTGTTTTGTTGGTGTTCTTCTGTCTTCTTCTTCAATCTTCTTCAATCTCAATTTTTCTTTTTCTTCATAATTTTCTTCGACTTCTAATCTTCTTTCTTTCGCCGTCTTCTTTCCTGCATTTTTACTTCTTTCATTTTCTTTTTCTTCTTTAATTTTCTTTTTCTTTTTCTTCCCCTTCTTCGTTCATGAATTTCTTCTTCAATCTTCTTTTTCTTTTTCTTCATCTTTAATTTTATTTTTCTTCTTCTTTATTCACCTTTTTTTACTTCTTTTATGCATCTCTTTTTCTCCAATCTTCTTCTTCTTCTTCTTCTTCTTCTTCTTTTTCTTTCACGAATTTCTTCTTCAATCTTCTTTTTGTTTTGTTGGTGTTCTTCAATCTTCTTTTTCTTTTTTCTTTCATGCATTTCTTCTTCTTCAATCTTCTTCTTCAATCTCAATTTTTCTTTTTCTTCATAATTTCCTTCTTGGACTTCAATCTTCTTTCCTTCGCCGTCTTTTTTCATGAATTTCTTCTTCTTCAATCTTCTTTTTCTTTTTTTCATCTTCAATTTTATTGTTCTTCTTCTATCACCTTTTTCTTCTTCTTTTTATGCATTTCTTTCTCTCCAATCTTCTTCTTCTTCTTCTTCTTCTTTAATGGATCTCTGGCATTTCCTTACTTTTTTCTCCTCCATCTTCGTTCTTTTCCTTTTCCTTTCATTTTCTTTCATTCTTATTTTCTTTATTGTTCCTTTCGTTACTCTTTGTTTTTGTTCTGTTTTTTTTTTTCTCTCTTTTTTTTTAATCGTTTCACCTCAAGCAAGGTAACAATGCCACTAAGGCGCGCGGTGGGTGAGGGTTACAGGCAGTGAAAGTAAAAAAAGAATGAGAAGACTGAGAATGAGGAAGATTCCAGTAATAACAAAAATGGAACAGGGCTCAAGATGGCAGAAAATTGCGATCGACGTTGCATTTAAAAATTTCGAAAATCGTTCTTATCAAGGAAGCAAGAAATCGAATGAGAGTTCCACATGTAGGAAGTGCGAGAAAAGAAACTGTTGGAGGTGGAGTGGCTGCTGCATCTAGCTTGTTTACCACTAACATGCTTAAATTCATTTCGTCGGGACACCAGGAAAAATACTCATCAGAGCAGTTGCCATGAAAATATTTATAGAAAAGACAGAGGGAAGCTACGACACGTCGGTGTGAAAGTGACTGGAGACGAGATGCCAGGTCAGGACCGATTGTATTGCATATCGTTAACTTGATTTTGTCAAGAGTCTCGAGATGTACTGTAGGAGTGCCAGACCAGATATAGCAAAAGTATTCAATGCCCGAACGCCTGGAGTCCAGCATCAGCCATGTTGATCACCGACATAAAAGGTTCTCTGTTGTTGTTCAGATATAAAAACAATGTTTTCCCCAGAAACCAAGAGACATTATTTCCCAAACCGGAATGGAATTAGTAAAATGTTTACACGGCCTCGCGTGTAATTAATCGTTTTCAACCTAACAGCTACTTTCTCACAACGAGTTTACTTACCCCGAGGTAAAAAAAAATTAGGCCTAATTTAACAACTAGATCGAAAACTTTTATGTTGTTTTGTATTTGTTTCTTGTCCAACCTACCCGAATTGTAAATTTAACAAGATAACAATAAATTCTCTGTTTTCACCTAATTCCATATATATATATATATATATATATATATATATATATATATATATATATATAATAACAATAATAGTATTTTTTTGTTTAAAAATATGATTCCTTTGCTACATAAGAGTTCTCATGTTTCAAAAACGAGAGCCGAAACCATCCAAATAATTATTAAAAATTAAAGCTCTACTTCTGTATGGAGCACTGTCTTCTTAAAAATAAAAACAAAAATACTAAGGAACTCCGGATTATGCACCTAAAGTGTTCTTTTCTATTTTCTGCATACCTGCGCATATATATATATATATATATATATATATATATATATATATATATATGAAAGAAATATGTTGTAGTGGTTCCAACGAGAGAAAAGTATGTATATTAAAAAGAAGAAGAGAGAGGTGCCGCAAACGTTTTTGGTTTTAATGTGGATTTATTTAGAAAAATATTATGCTTTGTTTTACATAATTTTACGACACGTGTTTCTGGTCTCGCGACCGTCTTCAGGTAAAACTGGAGATTTCCACATATTATTAAAAATAATAATTAATTTTTCCTTATTTTCAATGTTAAATATTCTCGATATGAGACATTCTCTGTTTGTGTATTGGTAATCCGAAGAAATTCTCTGTTTGTGTGTTGGTAATCCGAAGAAATTATTATTTTTAATAATATGTGGAAATCTCCAGTTTTACCTGAAGACGGTCGCGAGACCAGAAACACGTGTCGTAAAATTATGTAAAACAAAGCATAATACTTTTTCTAAATAAATCCACATTACAACCAAAAACGTTTGCGGCACCTCTTTTCCCTATCGTTGATTCCATGGTAAAGTTTCAGACGAGCTACATTCCTTAGTTCCACCAGTTTAGACCGTCGCAGCTAGAACCTGTCATGCCATACACGCACTCTCGAATCATCCTCATTACTTTCATATTCCATTAGTTAGGAGGAAGTTCTACTCAGAAATCGTATTCCCAAGAAACACCACTTTCTAAATTGAGAATGCTTCTTCGATCTCTACACTCTTAGACTCATCAAATCTCGGATCAACTGTTATCTATCCTACATATCCTCATAATCTGCACTTTTACGTTTTTACGTCTATACGTCAAACTTATTCAGTAACCCTCTACCTTGAGTTACTCTTGGGCATTATATTAGCATAATTCAAATATAGTTTAGTTATTATCAATATTAATACAAAATACTTGAGTTAAATTATCATTAACTAGAAATACCTGTAAAAATTTCCTAATTGAATATTCCTGTTAAATCTTCGGTTAATGATTGAATAGGCTCATGGCGAGTTCTAGGGCAATAAAATATCCGGAGAAATTTTCTTATCGCATCTTTTAATATTTGAGCTTAACAACCATAACAAAATATTGCAATATTAGCCATAAATTATGAATACTTGTCGTTATTTTAAGATGTAACAGATTAAAAAAATTGAAATTGGCAATTTTTCCATTTCGCTGAATCAGACGTTAAACACTTCTATCAGCCATCTTTCTTTCATTTTCTCAGTGAAACCAAGTAGCGTCTTTGATATGTTTTTTTTATTTTCTCACATAATCAAAACGGAATAGTCCATTATTTATGAGGTATTAACAGGAGACGTTAAACACTTTTATCTTCCCGTCTTTCTTTCTTTCTTTCATTTTCTTTCTTATTTCTTTTTTTCTTTCTTTTTATATTTTAAAAATTTAATTTTTTTCTTTGTGAAATATTGAAACACTTCTATCTGCCCTTCTTTCTTTCTTTTTTTCTTTCATTTTTTCATTGAAACTAAAAAATATTTCACGGTTTTGCAATTTTAATTTTCTGATCAATCTTACTTCTTCCGTAAATGATTGAATAAGCTAATGGTGAGTTCTTCGGCAATAAAATATCCGTAGAAATTCTCCTATCAGATCGTTAAATATTTGAGCTTAACTACCTTAACTGATTTTTACAATAACAACCATAAATACGAATACTGGTCGTTATTTTAAGAAGTAAGGGGGTACAAATGAAATGATTTGAAATTGACCACTTTTTCCATTTCACTGAAAGATACGTTAAACAAATCTATATGCATTTCTTTCTTTCGTTTTTTCACTGAAACCAAGTAGCGTGTCTGATATGTCATTTTCCGTCTTTCCACACGATCAAAGTCGAATAGTCTATTATTTATTATAGATATTGTCAGGAGACGTTAAATACTTCTATGTCTCTTTCTTTCTATTTCTCAATGAAACCAA